CCTCCTCCCAAGGCTGCCCCGTATACTGCCGCGCAATACTATTACGATAACGATAATTGTGGTTACCCTAACCATTCTTTTTATTTCCTTTTTCCGTGTGTAAACAATTTTTAACCGTGAAAATCCGATAAAAATCGGCCAAGTAGATGTACAATTTTGTGTGCACACCCGCCAAAATGTTCTCCCCATTTTCAGGATAACTCGATAGAGTCCCGCGCCAAGTACTAAAATACATGCGTGCATATACAACAGTATGGAAACATGGATGTAGACATGGCGGCACGATAACTGAACTCGTCAGGTTCGATGTTTCGGGTTATTGTCCCACCGAGATTTCTTTAAAAATAAAAAAAAATTGGTAGAACAGTCAATAGTAAAATAAGATCATGGTCGAGCGATAAGATGGTTTCTGTTCGGAAATTTTCGCCGTTTCTTGCAACTACGCGCATCGAGCGGCCCAATCTCAATAATCGTAGCCACGGGCAGGAGGTGCAACGTTGTTCCGGTGATTTCCATCGAAACGTTCGATCAACGCGCTGAAATGGCTCTTGATTACGAGCCCGGAATGTCGATGGCGATTTACGGCCACGTGGCGGATAATCACGCGATCGGCCACGCGCCTGCTCGACGTGCTTTCTCGTGGCCGGTGCTTCAATCCGAGAACCGATACCGAAGAATCCCAGAGTCCATTATCCGCGCTGATGCATTAAGGCGAAGTGAAACACGTCGAGGGACTTGATCGACGTCGGTGAAAAAGGTTTTTTCCAAATGCCTACGTTGCCGACGTTCGTTTTTACACCGACAGCTGTGCGGAATTATATTCGGTATTGTACCAAATGGCATACTCCACCTGTCGTTTTCGTACAATAATTACAAAGAAACCGAAGTGAAACTCCAGAAATCCTCTGAATTCATGCTTTCTGGGGCCCTAATTGACTGCAGAGGGACCCCCTGCGCCATCTGTGATTTCCAGGTCAATCAAATTTTCACTCCGAGACCTCGTATTCCTATCGTTTTAGCATAGAAGCGCATATAACACTTTTTTTGCCTTTATCCCGTTCAAATGCGAGTTTATCGATTACCAGAGTGTTCTAAATTGTCGTAAAATTGTCCTGACCCTTTCGATTCTCATATCGGAGCCTTCGATAATTGTATATTGATTGAAATATGAGAGCTCGACGCCATTTTGGTTCTGGTGTGGGCTGAGTTAAAAAATCGAAATTTTCAATGTGTCAGGACAATTCATAGATGCTCACGATTCACGTGTCAAAGTTTCGGACATCTCTATCCAATGCCCTTAAATAAAAAAGTGTCTCATTCGAATCGACAGATTTGAGGGGGCTCACTACCTATGAAATGAAAAATATGAACGAGCACAATATAACGTAGAAAGCAAAGTACCGGGCGTATGAAAGAAGCCTCATTAATAATCCAATATCAATCAGGAGCGAGGAATAAATTGCTCGAAAATGTCCATCTGGATTCCCGTCAGATCTATCGAGGCAGTGGAAGGTTCCTCTCCGACAAAAACGGGGTTATAAAAAATACACCCCTCAAATTTAATGCGCTCTTTTTTTTTTACGGCTTACTAGATAGGATACGCCAGGCCGAGGGGAGTATCCGTGCCGACAAACCCGTTCGAAAATGCGTCAAACCCCGTCGAGAGAAAAAGACAAACAAACAAAAAAAAAGGGGTGGGGGAGTGAAAAAGGCTTACTCAAATTCTCCCTCGCCCCGGCCTTCCCCTAAATCTCTCCCCGGTTGCATCCGCCCCCTCCTCGGAGAAGTAACGCAACCCGAGAGCGATATTATTTCTAAACGCATTTCCCGGAGAAATAACCTGTCGGCAACGAAAGGATGAGTAATGAAAACATGAAAAATAGTCCCTTTAGCTCTCCTCGCTCCGCCGCGCCGCCCCCCGGCCGCCCACTCTCATTTTAAACTTTCAAAGGGAAAACTAAAAATACTTAAACTTGGAATGAAATTTCGAAAAGGAGAGGGAAGAGAGAGAGAAAGAGCCCCCTCCCCCGGGGGGAAGGGGGAACGAGGGTGGAGGCAGCTCGCCCGGGAAAAATGTGTAATATGAGTTTACTCTCCTTATTCGCATTCCGGCTCGGATGGCTGAGCGGACATATTGAAAGTACACGTAGACAATGGCCCCCTCCCTGGCGAGGGGCGACGGGGCGGGCTTTTGTACCTCCTTGCTGCGCCTTTACGAATATTAAACGACCTCGACTCTTCTCTCGCACGATGCATTTCAGCTCCTTCGAATCGGGGTCGTCGCGCACCCTGCGTCGCTCTCGGCTTTGCCGATCCTCCCTCTTCGTGTCGGATGCGGTGGTCCGGTTGCCCCGCCGCCATCTTGGAAAATTGGGCTCCTTCGGTACGCTTCTTCTTTCTCCTTTTTGTCCCTTTTTTTCTCTTGACGCGACTTGAACCCCTTCGATCACGCGTAAAAAATGTAATCGGTCATGACGGAAATTTTCCCTTCGACACGTGTGAACACTAAAATGTACCGGCGAAACTCTACCTTGGAAAAACGATTTCGTTGTATCGACGACAAGAAAGACGTTCAAAGCTATTAGAAGAAGGTTCTAATTTGTCATAACTCGAAAAGTAAGGCATTCGTATGAACGCTAGGACCGGCGTCCGCTTAAGGGGATGCGAAAGTGGCGTCTAAAGAGTTGTCGAATCGTTTCAAGCCTCAGAACGTGAATACGGAGGCTAGAAGGAAGGTTGCGACTCCCCTAAAATATCATTTTTCATAAAAGATTAAAGAAATACCTACGAAGAAATTTGAGGAAATTTCATCAGTGTCTGCCCCGACGATGCGGACTGCAACGTTTGCGAAATGTCGGCCCTCTGGCGACAATGGACTCGGGTCACTCCCTCGAGCCCCGACAAACTTAACACTATTTCTACCAAAGGTGTCAAAAGACACCTTTTAAAATTTTACCTTGAAATTATTTACATAGTTTAATAATTTTTTCTCAATTAATGTTTTGAGTTTTCGTATAATAATTGTTGAATTTATTTAGCGTCATTTTCCTCCAGCTCATCAAAACCTTTTGGTCGAAATAGGTATACACAAAATCGTGGTAAAAATAGTGTTAAGGGACCCTGACCGCGGAAGGTTAAGATTTAAAATTTGAAGGAAAATTGAAATCTTATGACTTTCAAGACCTTCCTTACAGCCTCCTTGATTATATTACAGTTTATATTAAAAGTTCCACGAACGAAGAAACTCTTTGACGCCACTTTCGCATGCGCCTTAATTATGCTCCGAATTAGATCGGATAAAGCTGATTAAAAATCCCGACTCGACCCTCGCGAGTGGTCGATGATCGAGCTATCCGAATAGAGGATCCATCTTCGATCTTCGAGTACTTGGGATCGGTAGGCGAGTACCCGCCGGGAATAAAGTATTCCTCCGCGGTTATTCCGCGGCGGGTCGGAGCACTCGCTCTGTTTGGAAAAGCAATATTGTGAATACGCGATGGAGCGGTCTGAGGTGGAAAAAGTACCCGGGGGCGGAGGGTGAGGAATCGATACGTCATTTAGGCTGTTACCATGGTAGCAACAACCCCGGTCCATCCTACGGATGCTGCACGTTATTCCGCATTTCTCCGGCCCAGCCGATGCGTCCCTGATCCCTCCTATTTCCCCGCGATTACCGGTCAGGAATTACGGCAAGGTAAGAAGCGCCTCGTCGGAATGGGCCCGATTTTTTCCCGCCTTCCGGCTTCTACGAGTACGTGGAAGTCGCGGAAACTCCACACCTCCGGTCCCTACCTCGGGACGCTCCGCTTCTGGCATACCATCTGTCCATTTCCGATAACGCTATGTTTCCAATACTGACGATAAGGCGATGGATAACGGCAAAGAATTCAGAGAAGTCTCCATAGAAGCCCAGAAGGGTACGGTCGTTCGATGCTCGACAAATAGTACGTTAGCCAACGGATGGCGGCGCTGTAATCATCTCCCCATGTCTCTTAATCTTATGCCGATATACAGCGAATTGCATATTCTTTCTTTATCTTACCCGCAATACTCGCCTTTCTATATGCGTCTCTCTTCCTCCCGTATGTGAGATACACCGTTGGCTAACACATGCGATCTCTCTTTTACCCCCACTTCCGGTTTCTTGGCTAACTTTTAGAACATCAAGCGCTTATGAGACTTATGAATTCTTTGACAATGGTATAGCGATGGATTGCGGGGTAGTCGCTTCGTTTAAGAAGAAGTGTCCTCACTTCTTTTGGATTCTCTTAGTAGTTGTCTGGTTTTATCAACAAGACATTTTTTAGATAAGTTCACGATGATCTTACATGAACTTGTCGCATCCACTACCGCGTCTCTTGACTTCCTTCCTTTTCATCGTCTTCACAAGAACATCAATGGTTGGATTTACGAGGTCCATAATCCTTCCAATACTCCAAACCATTGAAAACGATGCGTTGTTGGTCAAGAGATCGGACATTCTGGCGCCCCGTTGTCTGGTTTCATCAAACGAGACATTTAGATCATTTCCCGAGGACGTAAGGGGACGTCTTCTGCAAAGGAGAAAGGTGCTAGAGTTCCTCACGAAGGGGCTCGTAATTCGCTCGCTCGCTCGTCATGGCCATAAATTCGATCTTTAGTCGGCGAGACGACTGGAAGGGAATGCCTTAAAGTTCCCCAAGAACCCGGAGGACGTTATACCCAAGCCGGGGCCGATAACTCTCGCCGAGTTAACGCCAAACTCAAGCCATTCGGGGTTTAAGTTAAACAAGCACTTTCCAGTCGATCCTCTTGGATTAGGAAATGGATGGACCTAAATCGACCTAAAACAATCGCTCGACTCCTCCGTCGGTACACTCCGATAACTTCTCACCGAAGTTCCCTAAATCGAGAGCCTTCTTAATCAGCCGAATACCTAAGATTAGAGAATTCACTAGTTACATAAGATTAATTTATTCCATACGATATAAAGCTAGCCTGCTCGTAAAGCGATAGAAAAATATATTTTATTACGAAATGTACATATATATATATAGGAATTTTCAAAGCGATGGAATAAATAATCCTTACTTATCATCTATTTTGGCAAAGGTTAGGACGTCGTCTCTTTAATGATACTATCCGTTATCTATACTTATTGTATCGTTTACAAAAATGAGAAATAATATTACCAGGGTCATCGGTACGTGACTGATTTTGGGAATGACATGCGAAGGGCAAGCAGGGTACGCAAGCTTTTTACTCCGCTCCAATTTCTCTCTGTCGTTCGATGGCAAAATGCATAGCCCTTAAGAAACGATGAAGGGAAGATTTCTTAGCGTGTAGGTAAAGGGCATGGGCCAGGAATGGAATTTTTCTCAAGGTACGTCCACTCAGCCCGACACTTTGTCGACTTAATTCCAGCAACTGCAGACTCTTCTTGGTCTCCGGATTCTCTTCGTAACCATACTTCTTCAAGTACGACATGCTGTGTAGCATTTCGTACTCTATGAAGTCAGTCTGCAAGTTACAGCACGAAGACAATTACCCTTAACCTCTAATTATCTTACGTTGTGGTAATAGAAATTAATGAACTAGCTTGTACGTACTCTCATTAACTCCCTTAAGCACGAATGGTAAATCTTATAAATGGCTTGCTCCTGTGGGTGTCCGATAAACTGGTTTATATCCGCACGATCCACAAAAGCCAAATCAATCGCTTCCGTCACGTTACTAGTTGTCAGAATTAATACATTTGGATAACGCTTCAGCTGGTCCAACTGAGTTAAAAGAGCATTTACGACGCGAATCGAGTCACTTGGTTCGGTACCGGAGAGGGAAGACTTCCTTGCGTGAGCCAAGGATTCGACTTCGTCAATCAGAACGCATACCAATGCTCTTGGGTCCTCGAGAAGAGCTCTAATCTCCCCGAACAGTTTCATAACCAACTTCCCACTCTGAAAACAACAAATTCCTTTTTTACTCTAGAGGAAATACAGTTTGAGGTTCAATTTAACCCTTTAATTACGGTTGTGGAATTGTACTACCTGAATGGATAGCTCGGACACGAAATTCTAATATCGTTAAGTAGTATAATGAGATACATGAGTCGAAGCCAACCTTAAAGGTCTAATATCGTCAGATTTTTGCTGATCTAGTACCAAGAGCCTCTTTGGTTAAACGTTTCAATTAATAATTATCTACTTTATACTACTTCTTGGAGACCACTGTAGTAATAATGCATAAAATACATCAGTCAGGAGCAAGCTACTTCAATGGCAATTCATAAAAAAAACGTCAATCAGGAAGAAGTTTCGTAACTAAAGGATTAAAGATATAACGTCTTAGTAAAATTGAAAACCTCTGAAAACCATTTTGAAAACAGACTGTGACTGTTTATCTCTACAAGCTCTCCTCTAGAGTACCGATCTCCCAAGCGAATGGCAATTTTCTGAGCAAGTGCTCGACACATGCTCGTTTTCCCAGTACCAGGTGGTCCATGTAGCAGTACGACCCGATTACAGTTTATTATATTAGGATTGACTCTGCGGTCCGAGTACACCATCATCGTCTCCACAAAGTGCAGCAACTACAACCAAGAAAAACGTATAAGAATCATAATAGCATTGCACGGGATATGAGCTCGCAATTTACATTTTCCTGGATGTCCGAGTCATAATACAGATTCTCCCAAAGGCCATAAAACTCTTGCGCTGGTAAAATCCAATGTGATGAAACTGGTACTTCTTCGGAATCATTTTGCATAGTCTCTATCGCACCATCCTCCTGTTCTAACCTATAGACGTACACTCGAACCTCGGCATTGGCCACCGTAATTTGGTTTTTCTGAAATTTCATTCTAGCGTCAAAGAAAATTTATTCCAATATATCGAGTTGACTTAAAAGTACACCATATACCTCTGCATGGTTGCACGTGCATACAATGGAGATCACGTGGGACTTTAAAATATTATCTGTGCATTTTTCCCCAACAATCGGAATATTGAGGTCCACCTCTACTAGCAAATTTAGTTCTTCCCTTACCGTCTGTTCTATCTCATCTCGGGACAAAGTACTAAGAGAAAAACATTGATCAGTTTTGAGCACGAATCTTATCCTAATAAGAAGCACTTGTAAATGCTCCAAAAATGATAACCTCGTTATTATAAGCCAACAGATAAGCATAAACCATCCAATAATAAATCTTTACATAACCCAAAAACTGATCTCACATTTATTTCACAGAATCAATATATTTTTCACAAAATCAACGTTAATATTATCCCCTGTAACAATGTTCAAAATCAGACGAACGAAATAAGAGCAAGAGGAATATTGGATGGTTTCAAAAATGTATAATATTATAACAGACAATTTCTTCTGATTTTCCCTGCATTACTCGATAAGTGCAATTCAATTACCGTGTCGTACTATTCGTACAATTTCAGAACAAGTACACAATTATACTTGCTTGTTTACACCGATAAACGGCAGGTGGGACAGAAAGAATATGGAAACAAAGAAACGTCCAAGATAATGGCAATGAAACACTTTGGAATTACCTATCATGCTTTTGACAAACTTCAACGTCAAGTACATCAACCATTTCCAACATTTTAACGAATAATTAAATAGTTCAATAAATGAAACAAATTGCTTATTTTACGCTCGTACGGTCATACAGCGCAACGTGATTAAACTTGATTGAAAGTAACGGACCAATCGCAGTGCAACCTGTGAACGTTGAATTCCAGAGCATAAATAATACATAGAAAGTGCCCATACCTTGACTTTCGTCGCTATCGATGCGCCACTGTCGGATAGCGGTATTTTAGTGAAGCTATTCCACATTTAGCAGACTCGTTTCTGAACTGCCAATTTTGTAACTCGAATTTGATGAAAATCCTGAAAAGGAGCACTTCTTACGATTTTATAACTTTCACCTGAGCGTTTATTACATATTTTTGACGAGAGAGCTCACTTCTTGCACTTTCATCTCACGTGGGTTTATTTACTAACGTAGAAGTCTTACAAATATATTTCAGAGTATTTTCCAACGTCTTCTCTCTTATTTATACAGGAAAAACTAGATTTTAGGAGCATTTTATTCTAGTGACTTATTGAGGGACGTCGTTGGTCGAATCTAACAGAAAGCTCCTAAATGGAATCAGCTGCAGAGATGAGTTGGGAGATTGCTCACGGGCAGGGTCGCGCGATCGTACCGTGTGCTGCCCTCTGATTTCGTACGTTAGCTTTCACCGTTTTTTGCCCCCAAGGG